TTTTCTTGGCTGGGAGCAGGACTCAAAGAAGTGACTGACATATTCCCCCCTATAAAATCACAACATGTGTTTTTGAATCGAGATTTAGGTGGTAATTAACCAAACTGGCGGTTTTCCGGGACTTGGTGTTTCACCTGGGGGCGGCGTCTTATGTCCTACAGAATATTGTGTGTGTCTGATGTGCATTGGGCTCGCACTGGGTCATCCCCAAGTGGCAACCTTCGGGGCTGAAAAATGAAACCAATGCAAAAGTGCCAAAAACTGCAGTTCCTCTAATGGCCACTTGAGGCTGACTCCAGAAGTGAGTCAGTCCCCATAGACCCCAATGTTAAAAGCCCAACTTTACAGCAGGAAAAAAATATGGTTTTGGCCTCTATAGACACTTTTAATATTTATGACAACTGTACGGGGCCTAATGTTTTTTTATAACTTACCCATTAATACTTTGTTAAGGCTTAAAGTTCCGCAAATTTAAGGAAGGTGCAGCTCAAGTGACAGGCTGTCTGCGAGGCGTCATTACTGTCTTTGAGCCAGATCCACCCCTTGCTCCTCCACAGCTCCACCCTCTCGGCCAAATACAGTCACTTCTGGCTCCAAAACAACAATATGGTTCAGTCGAAATGCTGAATTCGAGGCTTGTAAGTGAGAGTCCACATACCAATGGATGATGTCACGGAGGCTACATCCATTATTTTATACAGTCTGTGGTTGTCTTGGCACTTTTTGGATAACCTAGCAAAAGTAACCTAAACAGTTGTTTATTTACCTAATCTTTGCCTGGACGCCAGGATTAAACCTACAGGAGACCTCATGCCTATCTGTTACTTCAAACAGAGATTCATTTTCATTTTTTTGTGATGACTGTTTTACAAAGAAACATTTAGATTTTTGCTTCCTGTACTGCTGACACTGCTGCAACTGTGAGTAGACTTCCTGGCAGATTTTCAAATGACTTTTAAATTGATCATCATAATCTTAAACTGAAAAATATGTACAACTAAATAGTGCTCAAATACATTGTCTTTTAGATTGACTAAATTATGTCTGACAACAAAAATCTACTCAGATAGATGGTCTGCAGTCTGATATTAATGAAGGACTTTGCATCAGGTTTACAAGAAAGACTGCCAAATACCATGTACATATGTGAAGAAAGTTATAGAAAAACATGAATACTATATTCTGTGTACCCTCATACTTGTCATGCATCAAATAAACTGATCCCATACTTAATGCGTGTATTATTCAGTCTAATTTGCCTTATTCTCCAAGGTTTAGAGAAAAAAAACAGCCCATACTTTGCCACTCAGTCATTATTTGTACAAATTCGGAGCATAGCCCGCCAAAGCATGCACTGCAACGTCCTGTAAAACCACACCCATACAGGTGAAATGTTCAGTCTTTAGGGGGTTGTGGCTGTTTCCTCCTGTTTCCTGTGTGGGATAGTGAGGGTAAACCTCTACATATAAAATGTTTTTGCCTAAATAACTAAAGAAGCATTATTCATAAAGCTGAAGCAAATTGAGATATGGAGATCACCAGCCTTCACTGCTCATGACTTTGCAATGACGTTATCATATTTAAAGGTCGTCTGAGAGGAATGTGTATGCTGTCATAATAGGTTGGATATTGGAGTGTAGTGAACAAAGACAAAGAGAGAGAAATAGAGTCCACTGGTGAGATGGAGGTCTCCTGTGGGACTGCAGGATCGGGAAGGAGACTGACAACGTGTCAGCCAGAAATCCTTTTGTCACCATTCTCTCTCGAGGCTGCGCTTAAGTGCTTTACCAGTGTTATTGCTGACATTTGTTCCACTGCAGAATTATATTCAAAATAAACACATTTAGTCAGCCGACAGCCCAGACTTGTTGTTTCTCTCGCCATTTGGGCATTTGCGGCTTGTGCGGCAATGTTTCATACGCTGCACTCACGAAACATTAAAACCTCCTTGTACACAGTTGTAATCCTTCACTTTTCTGCAGTTGCCTTTGTATGCGAGGGAAGCAGTAGTGACTTGGCCCGTATGTGCCAGCTGTTGCAATGGAGTTTCACTTGTTGGCAAGATGCTGAGGGAGCAAACGTAAGGTCTGATATCCACACACTTATTTTGTGAGAAGGAAAAAGGAGCTTTTATGTTTCACTGGCTGTTCATCAAATGTAATGCAACATGTCACATCTTATTTCTTATTAAACGACTGCAGTGTTTGCACCAGAAGCACCTCGAAGGCAGGAGTTTTATTTATTCTTTTATCAAACCACTACTGGATGAGTAAGAATACAGATGGATCAAGTGAGAATAATGTGTATCTAAAGACAGGAGTTGTTTGAAACTGAGCTTGTATCACTCAGTTATTGTTCTGTGTCTGGGATGTGTTTAAAAAGCAGCACACAAAAAAATGGCTCTGACTGGAGTGAGATCAGTTTGGTCAGGTTTCCCAGTTCTCCCACAGGACCAAGCATCATGCATGGTCAGACTGGCCCACTTGTCCTGGTCTGTCTTCCACTTCCTCTTCACCCTCTCCATCTACTGGCAAGTTTCCATGGAAACAACAGGGAGAGGGAGTGGATAAAGAGAGAAAGACAAGAGGAAGAGACACAGAGAAAAACCCCAAAGACCGTGGTCTGCAGTCTGACTCCTGTTGAGAGCTATACGTTGCTTTAATAGGTATAAGTCAGTACTTTGAAACAGAAAGAAAGAAAAATGAGTATTAATATCCGCCTGCTCCGGTTTCATAATCTCTCATCAATACAGTTAATTACTGCTTGTCAGCCTGCTTGACTTGTTGAAACAGTGGATATGAGACAGATCACTCTGGCTCAATAATTTACTCCAATAAACTTCTCCCACACTCAACACTCTGCCTAATTAAGCCTCTGGGATTTGTGGGGACTGACACCAGGCCTGAACAATAACCCTGCGTCTCATCTGTTGAAAATCCATACATGAACCACATCAGAGTGCAGTGTCACATTAAATCGGGACGTGGCTCTGCACAGTATTGATGCTAGATTCATGATAAATTGGAGTAACTGGAAAATTTTTATTCACTACACTGGCCTATAATTTACCTATTTCAGGCATCGGACTTTTATATGGTAGAAGTAACATAAATAAACACAATTAATGAAAACTGATTTGGATTAGGGGTTTTTATGTGCACTTAAAGGTTGTCATTCACTGTTTGTAAATGCTCGCCAGCCAGTGAAAATTAAAGTAAAAGCCAACCCCACATTCACTTTCATGTCGCTTTATTTGCATTTTTCCTGCAGTTTGTTTTGGATGCTGCCTGCTTACGCCCTTTGTCGCTCTGCCTATGTGAGCAGCACGTGACAGCTAACTTTGCTGAACTGCTGCAGCTCACACGTGTGCAGTGTTCACACAGACAACATTGCTGCTGTGGCACTGCCTGCTGCTATGATTACTGTATTTCCACAATTAAAAGCCAGTACTCCACTTATTTATGGAGCTGTCCAAGCCACTGCATTTTCAACAACAAAATACCATTTTCACTGTCTTAGAGACTCCAGATGTTCCGCAACCGAGCCGTGCCTGAGCAGTGCTGCTGCACTAATCTGGTAACACAGCGTTTGGGAAAAACACCCCAAAACCCAAGAGGTTCAGCAACCCACACGCACTCCTCACGCAGGCAGTGTGACCTGGGCGGTAACAGTCCGACACCTGGCTGCCTCTTTTTTATTAAGTCCTGACCTCACCCGAACACTGTGGAAGAACACGCCTGTAAACGTTATGAGCACAGAAAATAAGAAAATACAGGCAGAGGCAGAGTCTCTGCCGATAAATACCCTGCCACACACTGAGCGTGGATCAGAAGTGATGATTGAGATGGATTACCTCTGCATTGTATATCTTTAAAGTAATCTACACTATTGCTGTCATCCTTGCAGAATAGATCCACTTCTCTCCAGAGCATTACCTGGGGTCAGCTGTGTATTGCAGTAACTTGGTAGCATAGTCATTTTGCTTGTTTCATCTTTCTTCCAGCTCCAGGGAATCCTCTGACCTGGCAGATCAATTGTGTATTAGTATTAGTTTAACTGAACACAATCATTAAATGCCTTTACAATTCAAGGACGGGGCTTAGCTCTAAAATTGAAGTTGCAGTGTTTATCCAAGAATACCGAAACCCCCATTTGTCTCAGTGTTAGTCGCATTTGTTTCACTAACATGTTTTTTTTTTTGGCTGGGAATGAGAAATGCTCACATTAGCTGTATCTTGCTTTGTATTGACAATAAATAATGTACCACGTTAGAGACAGTGGAACAAATGATTATGTTTATGTAGCTCGGGATAAAATCACACTAATTCAATCTGCTGACAACAAAATGAATTTATATTCTTGCAATAGATTTCAATACTTTATCTCCTTTTATTTGTGTGTGGATTTTGCTTTTATTGCGCACAAATCTTGTGACTGTGTGAGTAGTTGATGTGATTTGACAAACAATCCTCAGAGACATGATTTGTTACCTCCGCATATTTTCAGTGTACAGAAGCATGTGCACATTTGATTATAAAAGTGTTGTACAATCATCTGCCTTAGAAGGGAAGTAGGTGAGGTCAGACAGACAATGAAACAGCAGGAGAGAAGGGGGCTTCATACTAAAGAACACACACTATAAATGAAGGCTTGACCGCGTGCTGCTTGATAACATAAGAAAACCATTTGGAGGATGCTCCTGCTGTCCTCAGTGAACTCTGCTTTGATGGTGACCTCTGTCCTTGAGACCCATTTTGCTGATTAGTTTACGCCTGTTGTGTAGTAGCACAAATGGCCCGTCTTTACTTTTTTCTGTCCCGCATACCACATCCATCATCAATAAGCATCAAAGGATACAAATATTTACTCGCTTGTTCAGATGATGTCAAATATTCCTTGGGACAAGTCCGTCCCTGGCAGACACGATGTGTGCGAGACAAAGGGACCATTGTACTCCAGCTCAAAGGCTGTGACTGACTTTCTCTCTGTTTGATCTGCAGGCTGTAATCTACAAAAACACCCTGAAGAAGAGAAGGATGAAGAGGATGGGGCTGATGCTGTAAATGGCCTCTGTCAGAATAAAAACACTGGTGCTTTGAGATCTGGTGCTGCTGCGCCTCACTGTTCTTTTCTACAGAGCCGCCGTCATCAAAAGCCGACCGAACGCTGACCAGACACCACAGGCAGGACGTTGACCTTGTTTTGCCCAGGGATATGTCATTGGGGAAATCCCCGGTGTTGGGGGTGCGCCCTGTGCCCCGACCCCTCTGGCTGTCCCACCTCAGCCTGCTGTGCTTATGTGTGTCTCTCTTTGCCCAGGCTCCCCAGGGTTTGCCTGTGGTAGGTTATAACACTGACTCCAAGAGGGAGATCACACTGGACGGAGATTTGATGATTGGCGGCCTGTTCCCTGTGCACCAGAAGGGTGAGGGAGCAGAGGACTGTGGGAAGATCAATGCTCAGAGAGGGATCCAGAGACTGGAGGCCATGCTGCTGGCACTAGATGAAATCAACAAGGATGAGCGCATCCTGCCTGGGATCAGACTGGGCGCTCATATACTGGACACTTGCTCTAAGGACACCTACGCTCTGGAGCAGTCTCTGGAGTTTGTCAGGGCCTCCCTCACCAAAGTGGATGACAGCGAGTACACATGCCCCGACGGTTCCTACGCCATCCATGATGACGTCCCCCTGGCAATCTCTGGGGTCATAGGAGGCTCTTACAGTGATGTCTCCATTCAGGTAGGATCTAATGAAAACACTCCAGCTGAGTGGGCGGGCTCTCTACATTGTATCTGCAGTAGAATAATTAAGTTTGCTGTTGAGGATCATCCTTGTTTTATGCCATGAAATGAGTTGGTCAAAAGCTACATTAATTTTGTCAGACAGTGCAATTACAATTACAGCAGCTGCTGCATGCTGGAGAGAAGGAGACAGAGAGAGAGAGAGGAGGGAGTGCAAGAAAGATTTTGATGGATGGTCACATAACTGTCCATTTAGACTTAAGTACCATGTGCAATTACCCCTTGCGAGATGTTAACACAGGGACTTAATGAGTATCAGTTCCGCAAGGAGGATTTGTTTACCTGTACACCCATATGCCTGGCTGATCTAATTTAGAAGATCTCTTTCTCTTTCCCGGTAATTCACACTTCGGCAGCGATCCTGTCAGAGGCAGACATGCTACAGATGTTGTGCTCGGGACGGGCTGACAGGATGACTAGTGACGGCATGATTACTCTCAGCAGCAGCGCTCCTTTCGGCTCACTCAAGCTGATGCGATGAAAGCTCCACTAATTGGGTCTCCAAATCTTCAGCTGTGATATGGCTGCCACATCAGTGTAATTTCAAGGCATTGTGGGAAGAGATAGTGTGTCACGTGGAACTGAGATTGGTAAATATCCCACAAATATACATGCCTTAAAGCATTAACTTAAACTCATCATCCTGGCTCAGTCAGCCAGAGCCCCGTGCCTCTGCTGTCTCGGCTGAAGAGTATGGTTCACCTCACTCGAGATGTGCCGCCTCATGTTCCAGATATCTGCTTGTTTTGAGACAGCAGCGCACTTCTGCCCATCCAGAAATAACAATTGGCTTTAGATCATTGATAAACCATAGATGCTGTAGGAAGCCCTGCCACTGGCAGTCTGCTGTTAGTAGCTTTCCCCAGTGGGTGCTTGAGGACAATGGACTGGTGGTGGCATCCTTCCATACTTTTTAGTCATCATTTGTAGAAAACAGTGGCCAGCAGACATGTCAGAGCTGATATGCCAACAATAAATGAATCACACTGAATCAGTGTCTTCAGTGTCTATCTGCTGCCACACAAATGGTTCCTCAAGTGGGCACTTGAAAACCCTGCTTACATTATGAAGACAAGTTGAAAGCAGTGTGTTGAAAATAATATGAAGTATCTGCTTTATTTTGAATAAGTAAACACTACTATTAAAAATTTGTTTGGTTTAATGTTCCTTGATCCCAGTGGAGCTCTGCCAGCATCTCTGTTTTCCTGTAGTCCTGAACAAATGTTTTGGTCTCCTTGCTGACAAAACACAATGCCAAACATACAGTACAGTGCAATGATACATTATACAGGGAGAGGGCTCCTGGGAAATGATGTAAGAGGAGGATTCAGAGCACCTATATTGGGATTCCTGGTGAAAAGGCCAGTTTGGAAATAAAGGATTTGATAAACGAGCTGTAATTTTAGTGAAGTCCTGCATCTGGGGCTCCTCAGAGAGTGCCCTTGTCTTGTGGTAATTTATGGATGTACTATTACAAGCCTGAGGTCTGAGGTCTGCCCTAGCTTCTCACTGAATCTTCCTCATCAGTAGGAGTGCACCACAGGACACAGTTCCCTTTCTTGCCATGAATAATCCCCTGTATTGTAATGTGGTGCAGTTATGAGGTGTGCTAGCTCCTGCTCCTGCTCCTTCTCTTTGCTGGGTGGTGAGCATCTAATCATGGAAGACAACGACACTCTTAGTCTCCCCAACTGTAAATTTGCTCACACCTTATTTTGTTGGGGTTTTGTTTTTTCAAATCACTTTCTAGCTTTTTAACATGTATTATTTTCTTGCAACTTGCCTCATTATCTTCCTGGTGTTGTGCAGATTTACTGTGTAAGATGTGAAATTGAGATTTGAAAACAAGCCAAGGTGTATCTGTATTTTCGGGGTCAATGCTATTACACAAAGATATACATTTTGGCCATGTGAACATGTGGCATTTCTCTGCAGTTGCTAGTTCTTGCTCTGCAGATACCATCTCTACATAATGTATTTGTCCTTTGTAGCTGCCTGGTTTGTGCATAATCTACAGCCAGCCGGACCTTTGAATGAACCAGCCTGGCTGTGCAAAAGGCGACCGTGCTTGCCCTTCTGTGTGAGCGTCAGGCGCTTAATACAGACGTGTGTATTTCACCCCAAAGGCAAGGCAGTTACAGGACCACTAATAATGTTAGTTTAAAGGCCCTTATTGCCATGGCGACATGGTGGAACATGGTGAACTGACAGGTGGTGAGAACGCTGAGTGCTGTCTAAATCTGTCACAATGAAGGAGCGTGTTGCTGTGCTGCTGGTGTTGTGGTGTGACAATCGCAGATATGGGGGCGGATCTGGCTGCAGGCCTAGCCATGCTGGCGTTACATGGGCACAGATTGAGTTAAGTGTGGAGGCGAAGTTCTATGACGCTCTCGCTAGCTAGGTCCTGTACTCCCCATCTGTGGATGCTGCCGGACTTGTCTGGTGGTTTGGCAGAGGTGTGCCTGTGCACAGCGGATGTAGAGGGATCGAATGAGAGATGATCATATTTCACAGAAACACTGAGACAGTGACGGGCAGATACAATCATGGGGGGAAATTAAGATGGAGTGAGTCACGAACCATTTGACAATCAAAGCCTGTATCTTAAACAGTCACAGGGAAGTCTGTGATGCCATCTGGACAGTTTGAATGAATCTACTTGTGGAAATATTCATGTGATTGTAGTGTTTAGGCTTCCCTGTGGTCCATTTAAACAGCAGGTTATCAGTGCAAGAAGAGAAATGACCTTGTGATGACATGTTCAGTATGTTCAGCATTTTTATTCATGTGTGAGGAGCTGCCACAGTGACAAGGGACATGTTTACCTAGAGCACAAGATATTCAGTAGTATTGTTGCACACTGAAAGCAAGCATTAAAGATAAATTTCACCCTCAAATCACAAATACATATTTTTCCTCTTACCTGTAGTGCTATTTATCAATCTAGATTATTTTGGTGTGAGTTGCAGAGTGCTGGAGATATCAGCTGTTGAGATGCCTTCTCTCAAATATAATGGAACAAGATGGCACTCAGCTTGTGGTGCTCAAAGTGGCAAAAAAAACAAAACAAGAAAATCTAAACTGCAATGTCTTGTCCCACATCCCATTCTCACTCCCAAGTTGTCAAATACTGACAAATTGTCAAGCCCCTTGGTGTGGCCGAGGGCACCATTAAGTGAATCTATGTGACACACAGCTGAAACACTTTGTAATGTGCTTAATGTTGTCAAACGGTTGTGGTTTGGTTAAGGCAAAACATGTATTCGGTTAGGTTTAGAAAAGAAATCATGTTTTGGGTTAGAATAAGTACATTTGTTAAATAAAACGTAAGTACAACATGTGACTGACATCAGCTTGTTACGACTGTGTGTAAATTGCATAAGGTTACGTTAAAACAAAATTGGATTTTGGTTTCACATGAGACACCAACTTTGGTCTCCTGGATCAAAGTCCAGTTTTGTTTGACACGTACGCCACCCCTCTCTCCCACCCTTTGTGGACTTTCTTGCTCTTTATACTACATCAGTTGCCCTCAACATCAAATATTGCCACGAATGGGTTTACATTTGAGTTGAATCCTGGTGCGTCTCATAAATACGTGTGCTTTTTGCGTGACAAAGCATTAGCATTTGACGAAGTGGGAATAAGAACTGCCTGGAAATGATGACCCGGTTACTCAAGATAACCCACTACCCTTGTTGTGAGCAGTTTCATTTTGGAACTATTTAATTTCTTCTGAACTAGGCCTACAACCACCAACTGTATCACCACACCGAAGGAAATGTGCATCTACTCATGGACAGAAGGGTCATGTTTGTGATGTGCAAGATGTAAAAATGAATGCTGTATTCCTTGGCTGAGCTGTAGTGTTAGCTAGCTCAGTGGTGCTAGGTGAGCTAGCAGTAGATGCATGCTTCTTTCTGCACGGTGATATCATTGGGGGGTGTTTGGTGGAAAGAAAATAGTTCCTAAATGAAATTGCTTGCAGCAAGATCTGTGGATCATCTTGGTTGATATTTCTGGAAAGCGACATTGCTGTTGAGATTTTTAAATGTATTTTTGGTGCTTTGAGCACCACAAGCTGAGTGCCATTTAGCTCCATTATATCAGAGTGAAAGGCAACAGCTGATATCTCCGACACCCAGCAACTCACACCAAAACAATCTAGACTGATAAATAGCACAGGTAAGAAGAAAATATGTGATGTTGATTTGGAGGTGAACTGTTCCTTTAATCATAAATGATCAAGCGTATGAATATGTCTGGGTATAGCTGCTTTATAGGATGAACATTAGCCTTATTATTCCTCATTGTCCTAAAGGTGTGGTTTAATCAGAGATGTATTATATTCCACAATTATAGTCCAGGAACATCTAGCCTCTGGGCTGGCTTCTGATTAATACATGTAAGGAAAGGGACTCCACTTTCGCTGCCCCGACAGCAGTCTGTGCTGCTAAATATGACTCACTGGTAGTAAAGCATCCCTCAGGAAAAACATCATAATCACCGGGGCGCATTAGAAGAACAACACCTCCGGAATGTCAAATACTCAAACGCTCACCAAAGGACTATTCTCAAGCACGAAACACTGATAGAAGAAATTTCTGGAACCAATCTGAAAACAATGAAAAACAACCTGATCTTTTAGAGCGGGGCACAGAAATTGCTATCTGGAATTGAAACATGGCTTGTTCCAGGGCATTTGGATGAAAACTCTCCCTGTGTAATGGCACATTTGTGAATTAATTGGAATATTTTAGCACACTGTCTGAGATGTGGTAATTTTTACTGATAAATGAGACAGGAGGAGACACGCTCGCAAGGATGCATGCTGGAATTTAAAGATATAGATTCTGATATGAACACGCTTGCTTGACATTTGCAGACTAAACTGTGTGAGCGGAATAATAAGGTAAATTTATGGGCTTTCAGCAAGCT